AATATKACTCTCAAGGCCAGGCTTGACCCGCTTGGGCTCGTGCCATGCTTGACCTCTAAAGTATCCCAGAAGAGGCAAGCATGGCCCAACATGGCCTATGGACCAGCATGGCACAACCCACCAAGCACGGGCAACAGGCAAAGTCGTATCATGCTAGCCCTACACAATCCAATTTACACCTMTATGCAAAAAACCAACTAGATCACTAGAGAATCTTCCTTCTACACCATGATCCCCCACAAGACTGTACAATAACAACTCAGCTACAAAACTAGCTACCCTTTGTACAAATTCAAATTCAATTGACTCAAAAGGGTTTAGATTTCAGAAGAGCTTTATCACCCATAATGCAAATCTAGCTTCATGTCCAACAGAATCGTCAAATGTCATCTATTTCCTTGTTTCGTAAAACGTTCGACAGCAACCAATTTCTTGCAATCAATTCCCAAGATGGCTGAAGCTACATTGTCAAATACATATAAAAAAGGAGATAAATCACATGTTCATGTCCAAGGATATATGTCAAATACATATATCCAATTCCAAGGATCCCTTTAATGCTCAATTGCTCACTACATATATAATGGCAATTAGTCTCCACAACTCAATCCGATATGACATCTCTGGAAGCACCAACATAATTGGATCAATGAAAAGCTTCTATCATGTTTTAACATATTCAACAAGTCATAGGTATGATTTCTTCTAGAAGATAGTCTATAGGTTTCTAAGGTTGTTGCCCAACCTCGGACTAGGAGGTGAACGGGATAATAGCCCTCTTATGCAAAACTTGAACTTACAAAACAGGGAGTTGAAGGAGATAGTAGCTCACACTCTCTCTCATGTCCAATCACCAAGGCGGCTGCCCAACCTTGGGTGTGTAAGACAAAAAGGATTTAAAAGTGGAATGTCTACTTTTTCACAATACAATCCTGAAGACAAATGAATACAATTGAAGCCACAAGTATTCAGTTATAATGAACACCACTTGAACTCTCTCTTTCTCCAACACCATAAACACCAAAGATCTCCAACAACAATGCCAAGTAAGTTGAGCCAAACATATTTAATGCTAGAACCTTTGTTGAATCCAAACAATAAAACCCCAAAATTAACTTGATGAGCTACTAGCTACAAGGGCCTAATTTTTAAAGAAGTTCAAAAATCTTTGCCTATTGTGAATTTGAAAAGCGAGACAGATCCATGCTTTTTAAAGATGTTCAGCCTGCAATTAAGCTCAAGTGAGTTCAAATGCAAGCGAGTCTAGAGTCTTGCGAAATTGAACCTACATGTGCTTGTCCGAACAACCTACGTGTCAATTATTAATTAGATGCAAAATTGAACCAGGAGCATAAACGATGTATAAAACACAAAAGAGAGGAAAATTGATTCATGCAAAATGGATTCAGACTAACATAAAGTTGCCTAGACATGGTAGCCTCTGCAACATAAATGTTGTTATTGCCTTACTTTTTTTTCTTTTTAGTGCAAAAAAAATGCCAAAGTTTCAGATCTTTGAGAGGTCAAATACATATATATGCATTATGTCCCATCTAGGTATGAAATACAAAAGGTCTTCGTAGTTTGTATAATTTTCAGGAAATTGACAAATAACAAATGAGAGAATATGACTAATCAAATTTTCATGACAAGGCAAAACAGATTGTTCAGTTAATATCTGCAGTTGTTGGAGCTAAAATTTGAAGAGGTAGTTGAGCTCATAACCCTTCATGATTGGGAGACATGCCACACAGAAATTCTTAGAGCAACCTAGGAGAACCAACACTGATATCATCATCTGGCTTAAAGTCTAAATTCAACTCTCTCAAATTGCAAATGGGAGGAAAGAGTGTCCCATTGAATTGGAAACTTGTGAACCATGCTCCTGATCTTCATCCAACTAACAACAGTTGCATAAACTCATTTACTAGCACTCCACAAATACTAATGTATCAGAGTCATGTAATGACCATGATCTAAAAAAAATGTGTCCAAAAAATAATGGTCCATTGCTGCTGCTTGCTTCTCTATGCATTTTCTCTCATCATGTAAATATGCTTCCTTGGCTATATTGAACTCCTTTGGATAATTCTTCTTCTTTGACAATGTCTCCTATTGAGAACATGATATGTTTGGTGGTGTCTCCTATAGGGCTCAAAGCAGCTTGCACAAACATTGGCTCGGCTAAAAATTTATCGATCATTAATCATCTAGTTATGAGGTGTTGAACCTCTCTGCACAATGCCTCATCAAACTCGATCGATCATTAATCGTCGAGCTACGAGGTGTTGAACCTYTGTGCATAATGCCTCATCAAACTCGATATTAAAGCCTCTCATCAACTCACATTGTGAGGTTGTGCCCATAGGCTAGCAGTTCTCTTAAGAGAGGAAGAAATACMTATTCTTCCAATGCCTCACCTTGGTCGAGAAGCCACCTAGGAGTATAGCTATGCCGGTAGCTCAAGTAAAAATAGTAGGGCTCGTGGGGAATCCTCTTTATTTGACAATCCTGAGAAGATCTCTATGTCTAAAGGAAAATCAAGATGATAACAAGCCGATATAGTTCCTACTATCGCCCTAATGGAGTTAGGATGGAGCTAACCCAAAGAAGCACCATAATGGTTGAGAATCTCATAAATGAAAGGATAGAGGAGAAACTGGAGGCCAACAATCAGAGCCCCCTAAAGACGCAGACCTTGGCTTGGCTGTGACTCCAAAAAATTTGGTTCGGGCCTTGAAGGATTCAATCAAAGGGTTTCGGAATCTAAAAAGTAGAGATTAGGCCTATGATCTCCTCCTTGCTCAACTCAGTAGGTCCAAACTGAGAACCTGTCTACGGCTCGTGTTTAGAGGTTGAGAACCCTATTTGGGAACCCCGTCATTCTTGAATTGAGGCCCCTTCCTTGGCTCGAGTAGACTGGGAAGGCTCCCTCTCTGATTCACTTGAAGACAAATAAAAATAGAGTGGGACTCACCGGCGTATTGGAGTAAATGATCAGCCCTGCCTACCCAAACAATCTTTGTCGATTTGCAAGTGGCCTCGCTACAAGTCTCACCACCAACCTCTCGCTTTACTTGCCAAAAGCTCAAAACAGTGCAAATGGAACCCATTGAGGGCCCCCCTATTTATAGCGAAGGGGCACAAACAACCAACAACCAAAATGCACTCAATCCAACGATCCACAGGGGGGCACGCAATTCCAATTTCCAAGTTTAAATTCAAATTTTGAATTTGCGCACTCATATTGAAGTTTGAATTCACCGCACGCACAACCTTACTTGCTAGACTTATTCGGGCGAGCAGACCAAACTAACAGAAGACCGATCAAACCAATCATTCTGGGCCGAGGATCCATGATGAACTATTCCCTTCGCCGAATCGATGTCGACTCGAGAGTGGGAGCAATTGGTGAGAGGTGATTTAGTTCTCTAGTGACATCACGACACATGGCACCTCAGAACCATCGTACGACACCTCAACACCACGTAACCATCGACTTCGGGAACACGTCAAACACCTCGCACCCATTTTGACCTTCTTGACCCCACCTCGGTAAGACAACCTACATACGCCCCGAAAGGTGCTAGGTCAATGTAAGAGGCAACCTGCCTCTGCCAACCAAACCGAGGCCCAGTTGGTGGCATGCATGGCGTGACGGGCAACCTCATCCACGAGCGGGTTGTCATCCCCAACTCCTCTAGGTTCACATAGACACGTCAACAAAACTGACTCCTACCCCACCTGCTTTGGAGGTAACCAGATAAGCATTATCACTTTACAAGAAGTCCACCTCCGGGTGTGAAACCACCACCTAACCAGGCGAGTCGATGATCTCGGGCACTCTACGTGAAACCCACCACAACCTGTGCCTATATAAGGGCATCCTATTCTTAGAAAAAGGTAAGTGCGATTTAGCTCTCAATCATACTATCTCTCTCACTTTCTAACTTACAAACTCTCTTCACTAACTTAAGTATCAAAGTGTTCACCCCGAGTAATTAAAGCAACCCAAACACTCTGATTGTTTCTTTGCAACTCGACTAGGCAACCTCACCAGCCCAACATTTAAACTATCTGCTAGTAAAGAACGCCAGATCGTACACCATCAAGTATTTTATTAAATTTTAAACAATACTACTCAATAATAATTACTTAATTACTTTTATTTTTCTTCCAAAGTTAAATAAATTGGGAATACCATCCTGTAGATTGCTCTACATTCAACAAGAATTACAAAATTAATTACTAGTAGGTGTATAATCTTTTACTAAATATATTATTTAATATTTACACTTCCCCAATATGCCTTCCACATAAACAATTGAACCCTATAAGTAGCCCTTAGCTTACAAGTCTGCATCAAATTGACATAGCCCTTAAGGAAACTGTAGTATCCTGATTTAACAATGTCACCCCAAAGCTATTTCCTCTTCAAAGCAATGTTGATTCAGATTCAAATGGTGAAAATTTGTTCCATCCGTGCGAAAATATCAACACCTAGGGCCTGTTTGGTTCATGGGAAGGAGGGTCTGGAATCTAAATCAGAATGGATCCAACTATTTGGTTGGCGGAATTAGAATCCCATTCACATTCCCAATAGTATGGCATACCCCCAACATTCTTAATAGAATGGTTTCCCTCCATAATTGTTTCAAGAACATTGTTAATTTTCTTAAGACATATAAACAATCTTCTTGGCAGGGTTAGAACCAAATTTTTGGTTATTTGCCCCCTGTAACTAACTAATTAACTAACTGAAATGAAATGAACTTAATGAACATCAAGCAACAGAAAGCGAACGACGAGTACTGAGAAACCCAAATGCATGTACCTCTCTCCTTTTCGAACTCTATATTCTTAAGAGTTCTTTATTCCATTTCAGAAACACAAGACTGCTCCTCTTGACCATTATTTCAATTCCCGTTCTTTTCTCGGATTTCAGTTGTTYATGGTTTCTGTTCTGCTCAATGCAATTGCAAACCACAATGACAAAAAAATTTTGCTTCAGCCATATGATCACTAAATCAGGATAATATTTCTTCTTCCACTACAAAATTAAAGACTTTAGTGAAGGCCTAACAGATCAGAGATACAAACAGAATCAGAAGTCCAAGAAAAAACAGACCTAGAGAATGTATTGGCCAATTAAGTTTATAACAAGACATTACCCAAAAGCATAAAACTATAGAGACAAGCACATACATTGCATGCTTCTGGAAAAGAAGCAGCAATCGGCGCTCAAAACCTCCATAGGCAATCACCAAACAGGCAAAGTGGTTTCTGTTTAAAAGACATCAAGTGGGTTTCTCCTTCGTGTTCCTTACGAATCACGAACATCCTTACGAATCCCAATGTCTGCTTGATAGCGGGCGACACTGTAGCAAATAACCACCCCAACAAAACTGGAATAAATATTTATAGGCAGAGCAGAAGCATTAGCAAGAGCGCCGAGCTTCCTGATCTTGCTGTTACTCCCACCAAGGAGCTGGACAAGATCTGCAACGATGCTCTCAAGCTGCTGTCTAATGGCCTCTGAGGGATTGCCCTTGCTGAAAAGCCCCTCAACAAGCTCCGCTACATTCTCTTCAGGTTTGCTACCGAGCACGTCCCCAATCGTCACACCTCCTAGTCCCAGTAGGGTCTGCAGAAAGGTAACAACAGACGCCACTCGTCCGTTGTGAAAACCGTTGCGGAGGAAGACGCAGAAGGCCCTGAGCTTCCCGCTTTGATAGAGCTTCTCAAGAAAGCCCCTCAAGGCCCCAACCTGTCCGATCTCACGGGGCTTCTGCACCATCAAGCCCGTCGAGCAGTAGATCGCGAAGTGCTCGCAGTTCCTATTAAGSAAATGGTACCTCCCGAACCCATTACGCTCCAGGAGGTACTTGGCGCGGTGCAGGATCAGAGCAGGAGGGCTGGATTTAGCATGGCTGCAGGTTCCTGCACGGATCCTGGAGAGCAAGAAAGCTCGGGAGACGTTGTACTGGAAGCGGCAGAGCTCACCGCCCAGCAGAAAGCAATCCAGGCAACACTTGCAGACTCCCTCACGGTCACGGCTGGAGTTGTCACATTTTGGGCACGAAAATCCAGGAACACTGCTGGAGGCATCCCAGGAGGCGGCGGCGAAATGCGAGGAATTTCCGCCTCTCGCCGGAGTGAAGTGAATGACTTGTTCGTTGCCGATGTATATCCCTGCAAATTGCAAATCCACCATGACTTAAGAGAAGCATTGAAACGCAGAGAGAAAAGAGAAGGAGAGAAAAGGTTAAAATTAGACGTACCGTGGTGGGCGTAGAGGTAAAGGTGTGATCTCCAGCAGTAGATGTGATCACCCTCCTTGAGCTCGCTGCGATCGATCTTGTTGACGATCAGGGCTCTGATGGATCGCAGTTCTTTGATCTTCTCCATCTCAATCTCGTAATTCGTAAATTTAACAGGAAGACCGTGAATTCGTCCGTCGACACTCGCTTGCTTAACAGGTGGCACATCGGCGACGGTTTATGTAGAAGAACTGAAGTACTCAGTATGTAGTTCCTGTTTCCTTGAACCCTGATGCCATTTCGAGAAGCTTCGAGGCAATCCTAGAAAAAGAGCATCGAAATAATTGACTTTAAATTTGCGCCGCACAAACGCCCCACACAAATGGGAGCGCACAACATGTCTAGACGCACGAATTCCCTCTTCCCTCGTGCGTGGCTAACGGGACGGCCGTTAGCTCGTCCCTTAGCTTCCAAACGAGCCAAAATCTCATCTTCATTACATTTAGCAGAGGGGGCCTGCGGGGCTCGGTCATAAAGTATCACGCTCGAGCTCGATTTGAATTAGAGACTTAAGTCGAAAGTTTAAAAATGTAAGTTCGGCTATTTTTAATTGTAGATTTCTCAAGCAATCGGGGTTCCAAGCCAAGGTGCCAAATCAAGGTCTCCCTCAACTATTGAAGTGTCAAGCTGGGGTTTCCCTAATAGGCGAGGTGTCGAATTAAGGTCTCCCTTAATTGACAAGGTGCCTAACTGAGGTCTCCCTCAATTGTCGAGGTGTTGAGCCGAGATCTCCCTTAGTGATTGAGGTGCCGAGCTGAGGTCTCCCTCACTGATCGAGGTGTCATCTAGCTCGAGCTCGATTCGAATTAGAGACTTGAGCTTGAGCTTAGAAGTTCGAGCTCGGCTTGGCTCGAACTAGATTACCTTTGATTGTAGGTCCCCTAGTAGTCAAGATGCTGAGCTAAAATCTCCCTTAGTTGGAGAGAGAGAGAGAGAGAGAGAATGGCATTCTTGTAATTTATAAGGAGAGAAAGAGAGGGGTGGCATTCTTGTAATTTATAAGTAAAAGAGAGAGAATTGATAGGAGAGTGGTATTATTGTAATTTAAAACAAAAAGCAAGAGAGTGGAATTCTTGTAATTTGAAAGAAAAAACAAGAAAGAGAGAATTGGTAGAGAGTGGCATTCTTATAATTTCTAAGAAAAAATGCAAAAAATACTGTTAGATTCTATTTTCCTCATCCTCCTTTTTATGTAAACATTTCAGCTTAATATATTTATATAGATTTATCCATCACCAACTGATGATGCACAATCCGGCCGATCTTAACTGTCAACGATCTTGCCTCTGAACTGAGTGGCAGGGACCTGAAACGGAAGGAGAAGAGAAGCTCCGGGGAGAACCCGATGTAAGGGCTCC